AAGATAATGGACAAAAGCCAGAGATTACGCAACGCCCTCTTTAGGCGCAGGGTAGACACGGAATCGAACTCATGCAATCTGGTGTAGTGTGTGTGTGTGTGTGTGCGTGTGTGCGTGTGTGCGTGTGTGCGTGGTGGCTGCACCATGGGCCCCGGGAGTAAGGGGAGTAAGCCAGCGCCCCGTTGTGAGCCATAGAAGTCGATTGGTAAAAAGACTGCCAGCCCTCGCGGGCTGCTGGGGCAAGCCCGGACCTCCTGAATAGAATCAAGCGCGGCTGCTTCCCCGAGGCTCCAGCTATCGGGCAGCCGGGTCAGGGCATGGATATCTCGTCTTGTCTTGTCGTTTTGCCTGTTCTCGCCCCTGTCCTGCTGTTTTCTCGCCGCTGTCTCGTTTTCTCCTTCGTCTCATATTCTGCTGTTGCCGCGAGGATGCTGCGCAACTCGCTTCCGAGCAAAGTAGGAGGATGCAGTAGGGCGAGGGGGACGGGAAGGGGAAGAGGAGGAGGAGGAGGAGAAGGAGGAGGAGGAGGAGGATGGGTTTGGAGGATGGGGCGCCGGAGAGACGATGCACGAGGATGCTTCCTACCGCTGCGAGCCCCCATCGGGGGATCAAATACAAAACGGCCCGGTCCCTCCACCTCCTCCCGCTCCTCCCCCCCTCCCTCCCTCATCCTCGTTCTCCTCCCCCCCATCCTCCTCCTCCTCTCCTCCTCCTCCTCCCTCCTCCTCCGCCTCCTCCTCCTCCTCCTCCTCCTCCCTCCCTCCTCCTCCTCCTCCTCCTCCCTATTCCCTTCCAACCTCTTCCTATATTCTCCTCCCCCTTCCTCTCATCCCTCTTTCCTCCTCCTTCTCCCCCCATCCGCGAAACCTTGGGCACTCAATGGAACCCGTCGGGCCGGAACCCATTCGAATCCGACCCCCAGAACCCCTTGAATCCCCTGTAGGTTCGAGGCAGGTCTGTTTTCACGCCTACATGAACGCCTTTGCCGATGCGCCGCAGGCACCCTCGTGATCTTTGAGCAGGAGGCAGTGCCTTCATGAGATTCACAGCCACCGCACGCCTCATGGATCAACTCTGCTTGCGGGGTGTGGAACAAATGTTTGGCATGTGTGCGACAATGATTGGAGTGTGCACCGCCACCGCGCGTGTGAGTTATCCATATTACACACGAAGTGACAACGCTCAGTGGATTCACTACGTCACCCGCGGGGGCGCGAAGATGACCGCCAGTCGCGCATCGTGGCGCACGATGCGCGGGGTTATGTGATGTGGATTCGCGTCTCAAGCGAAGCGTGACCCACGACCCGCCGGGCCAGGTGTCAAACCAAGCGAATCGCGAGGAGCTCTCCAACGGAACCGGCCCCCAACCAAGCCCAACGAGGCACGCTGCGAGGACCTCTCGAGCGAAGCCGGCCCGAAGCTGTGCCGAACGGACCGAACTGAGAGGACGCCTCGCGCGAGACCTGCCCCACGTCGAGCCCAGCTGTCGCGCCCATTTCCCTTCAAAGAGGATTCCCAGTGAATCATGGATTTCTCGTGAGAGAGATGCTAGATGAAAAAATAATGGATTTGTTCTTTGGCAGCAAGGTTGTTCGCGCCGTTTGGTTGCCCACCGTGCTAGTGGCTTGTTGATCCAGGCAAGTTGTCCAGACCAGGCCTGGCCCGGCCAATTCCAGTCGGGGCGCCGAAGAAGAAACCCTGTTCGTTGGGGAGTGGCTCGGTGTTCCTTGATTGTTGTACAGTTTGCCTAGGGTTTCCCTTTCGTTTTCCATGGGGAATCAAAACTTCACTTATGGGAACAAGGGGCCTCGTTCCTGATTTAAGGGTTCCTTAGGTCAACGCCCCGACTGCATGAGATGTTATGAGGACCTCTCGGGAGAGCAGGGTCCAAGCCAGGCCAGACCACGGGCCAGACCGGGCGGGCCGCGAGGGAGGACCTCTTCAGGCAGGGGCACGCGTTGCCTGCGCATGGCTAATCGCAGACGAGGCCGGTCCAGACCAGGGGCCAGGCCAGACAGGCTTGGCCTCCCGTGGGGGCCTCTTGTCAGGAGGGACAAAAAAACACAGACACAATTCATCGTCGATTCCCCAGAAAATATGGGAAGTAGGGGGGAAGACAAAAGCCCAGAAGATATGGGAAAAAATAGGGGAATCCTGTGATTTGTGTGTGTGTGTGTTTATTTGTGTGTCCCTGGGCCCCTTCATCTTGAAGCTGTTTGGGGGCCTCTCCGAGGCCTCCTGGGCGCATCGTGGGGCGGACGGCCCACGCCAAGAAGCGCCCTGCTCGCCTCCCCGTCGCCATTTTGGCTCAAGCGCCGCGCGGCGCGCCCCGGGGGGTGGCTTCGGGGTCTGGCGCCGCCGCGGATGGTCGAGAGCAGGGCGCCAGGCGCCTGCGACGCGGTGTTGCGCGACGATGGAGCGCCAGATGAGCTCGAGCAGCGATGAGAGCTCCGGGATGCCAGACAGTCTGGTCGGCGACTGTCCGACCAGACTGTCGCGACAGTCTGGTCGGCGACTGGAGGAGGAGGAGGAGGAGGAGGAGGAGGGGGGAGGAGGTGGAGGAGGGGGAGGAGGAGGAGGAGGAGGAGGAGGGGAGGAGGAGGAGGAGGGGGAGGAGGAGGAGGAAGGGGGGGGGGGAGGAGGAGGAGGGGGAGGGGGAGGAGGAGAAAGGAGGGGGGAGGGGCCGACAGTTCTGGCGGTGGGCCGGCGGCGGACAGCCTGCCTCCGACCCGGAGCACGGTGCCAGCCCCTTTCCGCGCCTGCCGCAGGGAGCACACCAGGAACTACAGGAGGCCCAGCAGGCGGCCCGTGACAAGTCACCTGGCTCGTCCTCCTGCTTCCTGACCTCCTCATCCTCCCTCCCCTCTCCTCCGTCTCATCCATCTCCTCCTCCTCCTCTCCTCCTTCTCCTCCTCATCCTCCTCCTCCCCCCTCCCCCTCCTCCTCTCCTCCTTCTCCTCCTCCATCTCCCCTCCTCCTCCTCCTCCTCCTCCTCCTCCTCCTCCTCCTCTTCCTGCTCCTCCTCCTCCTCGCCCTCCTCCTCCTCCCGGGAGGCGCTTGCCCAGCCTGGACCCATACACTTCTGCGCGCGACAGCCTGGGCAGCTCGAACGGCTCCACCCTGGTCGACAGGCGGCGCTGCGCGACGGTCCAGGGGCCGATGCCCGAGTACGACCCGGAGGAGGGGAAGCCTTTCGACGACCCACACTCGCGAGGCGTGCCTGCGTGCCCGGACTCGGTGCAGAGTTTCTCGAACAAGGCAGCTGAGCACTACCTCTCGGCGTGCGGGCGCTACTCGCTGACGCCGAACGGTGGCTCCCTGCTGTGCCTCTCGATGGGGCTTGCGATGTTGGAGGCCGACGACACGCTGACCAATCTGGCCTTGGTGCCCCTGTGCGCCGCCCTGCTGGACGCGCCGTTCGTGAGGCACCTGAAGCTGTCGGGCCACCCCGTGAACGACACCGGGGCTGCCGTGCTCTCGCTGGTGCTGCCAGGCTGCCCCTGGATCAAGGAGCTGGAGCTGGAGCGCTGCGGCATCAGCGGCGTGGGCCTCCAGTCACTGTGCGAGGCGATCCCGAAGTCGGGCGTCAGGCGGTTGGTTCTCCGAAGGAACCTGCTGCGGCAGAGCGCCAAGGAGGCAAACGCCGCCCTGGCGCACGTCGTGCTGGCGGCAAAGCGTCTGCAGATCCTAGACTTGCAGAGCTGTGGCCTCCAGTCAGCCGGCATGCGAGAGATAAAGAAAGCCGTGGCGACGCGGGAGGACAAAGGCCTGCCGCCGATCGGCGTTGCGTTTGAGGGCAATTTTGTCCTTGTGGAGGTTATGAATTCGCTGACGCACGGCGCCTGTGCGCTGGTCTGCTTGGAGGCGTGGCGCCGGCTACACGGGCTCATCGTGCAGGTGTGCCAGACTGAGTCTGTATTCGCTCTAACGTTCTATATTGTGTCGATGTTGTTGATGTTCACAGGTTCGACATTGTATCATTCCACATTTTCTTTAACGAATCTGACATGGTTCTTTATGATAATTGATCACTGCGCCATTTATTTCTTGATCGCCGGCACATATACCGCAGTGCTCGTTATGGGTTGCCGCGACGAAACGACGATTGAGGTCACGTGGGGCGCCCATATCCACGTTGTAGTTTATTGGGCTTGTGTCGCCATCGGCGTCGTAATGGAACACATCCATTCCCCAGTGAAGACCGCCTGGTACACGAGGTGGAAGTTCTTGCTTCTCATGTACGTGGCGCTCGGCTTCGGCGGGGTGCCCTACATATCATCATGCAGCCTCGTGATAAAAGCTGGCGTCATGCCGTTGCTGGAAGTTGGTGGACTAACGTACGTTGTCGGCATCGTCTTCTTTCTGCTTGACAAGAAGTATCCTTCGATGCACGTCATTTGGCATGTCTTTGTGGGCGCGGCGGCGTTCGTACATTTTGCGGCCGTTTGGCAGCTCACCCAGGCAGTAATAACGCTGACAAGCGGCCACCATTCTTGCCAAAAGATGCGGGATGATCCGTTGTCTGGTCTAGCAAATTTAATTTCGTAGCACGCAGGATTTGCGCAGGCGGGGGACCAGCTGGGGACGACAACGACAGCATACTCTTTGCGCACGGAATGTGCCATGCTCAGGATTTTGGCGACCTCAGGTGCCTTGACATGGTCGAACTTTCGGGTGCCATCTGGCGATGATGTCTTGCACGCGTGGGGTTCTAATGTTGGTGCAGGTGTCAGTTGCCCTCGCCCTGCTCGTCTGCCGATTTGCGAGCAGAGGGCGTTCCCAAGAGACTTGTGGCGGTATTTTGGCCATCGGAGCTGTCTGGGCTGGAGGCTTGATGCCCAGCGCTCTCCGTCGTGGGAGACTCGGAACTCAGACCGATGCGGTTTCGCGCGGCCTTTTTTAAAAAAAGCACCCTGCTCGCCTCCAGAGGGTGCCCTCTGGCCTCTTGGGTCTCGACGGCTCTGCGATGGGAAGCGCGACGCTCCCACGCCAAGACGTCGACGGACGCCCCGGGGTCTCCGGGTTGGGCTTCTCGTGGAGGGTTTCTTGCGAACGGACCCCCACTGCACCGGGCTCGGGGACGGACCGGCTCGGTGGGGCCCCTTGCGGCCACCGGTGCGCAAAACGGACCGAGCGCGGCGGCACTCGCTGTTGCTTCGGTCCTCGGCGGGGCCTTCGCTGGAACGAGGAACAGTGCATGAGCATAAGTAAATGTTCGATACCTTTCGGCTGAGATTCCGTCGGAGTGGCGTAGACGCACACACGCATTATGGCATTGTTGTTTCCTCTCTCTTTATTTCTCTCTCTATATATATATGATATATACATCATATCATATCATATCATGTCATATCAGATCAGATCATACCATATCATATCATACCATATCATATCATATCATGGCATATGCTATCACATATATATATAGTTGTACATATACATATATATATATATACATATATATATATATATATATATATATATATATATCGAGAGTACAAGAATACACGAATAAGCGTCGGCAGAAGCAGAAACTTCCAGGGGCCCGCGCGGATGTCTCGGATCGGCCTTGGGCCCCCCCCCCCGGCGGCTCCGGCGCCGCCCCCCTGGCGCGGCCCGCGCGCCGCGGAGGGGGGGCGGCCGGCGCCGGCCCGGGGAGGCCGCGCGGAGCTCCGAGCGTCGGGGGCGGAAAAGAGGGGGGTGATGACTAGGGGGGGGTGGATATCATGGCGTGGGCCATGATATTTCCTCAGATTTCGTGGCGCCTCTTCTCGTTTCATGACGTCCCTGGCCCCCCCGCTGGGCCGCGCACACGCCGCCGGTCATGATTTGCACCCCCCCTCTTGGACACCCCCCTCTTGGCCGCTCCCGAGAGTGCCGTCCTGTCTCACTGGACGCCCGAAATCGTTGGGCGGGCTGGGTTGGGCGGGCGGGCCGGGTAATGCTGGGGGGGTGTTCCTCCCAGGGGGTAGTCCTTTTTGGGCTACCCTACGCGCGAAAGGATTTGTGAGCATCTTCTCAATGAGGATTACAATGAAGAATCAGCGGTCGTGCCGTTTTTAATACATGCTCCGCCGGATGATGCATTAGAAATGCATGGACTTGGTATTAAAACAGCGATAAATTCATGCATACATTTATTAATAAATGGATCATGTATCAAAATTCCTATGCTTTTTTTAACTCCCATGTATTAAAAACTGCCCTGTACGGAAAGAATGGGAACAATGGCCAACAGCAGTTCCTGTTCATTTTGAACAGGGCTCGCTGTCCGCGCCGCTGCGGCCTGTGTCCATTCGGGACAGAAGGCCGCCCGCCCAACAGCGGCCGCTGCTGGTTTGGGACAACATTTGCTGTTGGGCATTGTACCCATTCTTTCCGTACCCATCTCGGGCGTCCAAATCCTGGTCTTCCGCGCCCTCCCCCCGTTTCACTGCTCCCTTCTTGCTCATTCGCTCGAGTCCTCCCCTTGACCTTCTTTTTTCACAACATCCATGTTTCCCTTCTGCTCCTACTCCTCCTGCCCTGCCCCTTCTCGGGCGTCCAAACAGGAGGAGGAGAGGAGGCCGAGGGATCGGCGCAGGGCCGCGGAGCGAGGGGCGGGAGATCACCGCGAGCCCTCGAGGGCACCCCCTGCTGCCCCAGAGGCCTCCCGGCTGGGGTCGGAGGGTCGCGCCGCATCGCCGAGGCATCGAAGATACATCGACGACGCATCGGCGACGTCGGTGGTGCATCGGCGACGCTGGTGTGGAGAAAATCGGGCTCCACATCGTGCCGCACTCGGAGAGGCGGTCCTTCGGCTGACGCCAGACAGTGGGGGCCCATGCCAAGAAACGCCCCTTGGCATCGCTCGGACGTGTGCACTTCTTCTCGGCGGAGATGATCGAGGAGCATCCTGGATCATCCTGCGAAAAAGCCACGCACGAAACCGAACAAAAGCACAGGGACTGGACGTCCGAGCGATGGCCAGACCCTGCTTGCCTCCAGGGTGCCCCGGGTTTCTTGGGCTCCGATGGCCTTGCCACGGGCAGCGTGACGCTCCTGCACCTGACCTCGATGGACGTCCTGGGGTTGCATGCTGGGGTTTCTCGTGGAGGTTCTCTTTGTGGACTGGCCTCCGCTGTACCACCGAGCCCCAGAAGATGAGATGTGCGGTTTCCTATGCCGTATGTGCTGTGGGCCGCCTCCCCTCGTGCTGCGCCTGCGTGCAGTTGCGGTACTGGCCTGTTCTGCTGCAGGACTTCTCTCTGGGCTCTCTCGGAGGCCTCGAGGGCGGCCTCGATGGGGGCCTCTCTTCAAGGATCCTGGGGCTTTGGGGGGGCTATCCACGGGGCCTCTTGGGGGCTGCCTGCCACGCGCGCAGTCCTGCACTCCCCTGGGCGGGTCGTGTGCGGCGGTTCCCCCCTCCTCCACCCCTAATTAGGTGCACGCGCCTGAGCTGGGCACGGCGCCGCCGAGGCGCTTGACCGCTCGCTCTGCGCGCGCGTCGGAACAAAACAAAACATGTAGAGGATTTCTTGGACCATCCTGTGTGGAAGAGGTCCCGGGGTCTCTGCGAGTTCCCCCTCTCGGGACTCTTGCCCGTGAGGCCGCCGAGGGTTTGCGGAATCCCGAAGGAGCCAGAACGCGCAGGTCTTCCACATGTTTCTGGGGAAAGTCATGGATTTTGCGTCCTGAGGCCCTCGAGCGGGTTCTTTTGTAGGCACAGTGGGGACCTTTTTTTGTTATCCTGGGTATTTTTGAGGCCTCTCCAGCACGTTGGGGCCCTTCCTGGGCCATCTTAAAAAAGGCATCTTGGGGACTCCGGGTGGCGGACCTGGAAGCTCCGCGGTCCCAGAGGTGTGCCGGCGAGAGCTCGCACCTCTCTCTGGGAAAAAGGGGGAACGGAGAGACGGGAACGATTGCCAATCACCTCGCGCGCCTTCTCTTCCCCACGGCAAGCGGACGTCAGCGGATTCCCAAGCCTGTAGCGTGAACGCGTTGACCTCTCAATCGCCCGTGCCTCGCCGAGTGGGGCCTGGGCCCCCCCGCACCGCCCAGGAACGCGTTTTTTATTGCTTGGGGCACAATGGGCATTACAGCGCCCGGCCCCCCTCCCCCCCTTTGGCGTAACGCCCCTCCCCCCCCCAGCGCGCCCCGGGCACTGCCGCCGTGCGCGCGGCGGGGGGGAGGGGTTAAATTACACCGCCCCTCTGGTCCCTCCCACCCTTATAATGCCCATGATCGTCGAAAACAAAGAAACGCGCTCCAGGAAAGTGCGGTTTCGCTGTCGGGGGCCCATCACCGATCGAAATTTGAAGAGTGTCGCTGCTTCCGAGTCGATGCTCCCCCTTTTAGGCAGGTCCCCCGCTACCGTTGAGTCGGGCCTCTCCTTCTACAGGAGGAACATTCAAAAATAGTGGACACATAGTACGGGGACTCTTCTTTTTCCCAACCAACCTGTGTTGTTGGGTCCTCGTTTTGAAGAGACGGTCCCCGCGTTCCTCCTCCTCATCCTCCTCTCTCCTCCTCCCCCTCCTCCCTCCTCCTCCCTCGTCCCCTTGCATTTCACCCACCCAGCACAGCGCTTCGTAGCCCCATAGGGAGCTCCACCGAAGGCCCCAGGGCCACCGTCCACATGCGTCCCCCCCACTCAGTACAACGCTTCGTGGCCCCATAGGGAGCTCCACCGAAGGGCCCAGTGCCACCGTCCACATGCGTCCCCCCCAGTCAGTACAGCGTTTCGTGGCCCCACAGGGAGTTCCACCGAAGGGCCCAGTGCCACAGTCCACATGCGTCCCCCCCAGTCAGTACAGCGTTTCGTGGCCCCACAGGGAGTTCCACCGAACGCCCCAGTGCCACCGTCCACATGCGTCCCCCCCACTCAGTACAGCGCTTCGTGGCCCCATAGGGAGTTCCACCGAAAGTCCCAATGCCACCGTCCACATGCGTCCCCCCCCCCCTCTCAGTACAGCGCTTCGTGGCCCCATAGGGAGCTCCACAGAAGGCCCCAGGGCCACCGTCCACATGCGCCCCCACGCACTCAGTAACGCGTCTCGTGCCCCAATAAGGAGCTCGCCCCGAAGGCCCACGCCACCCCTCCACATGCGTACCTCAAAAAAAACGCGAGACCCCCATTTCAGTACAGCGTTGCGTGGCCCTATGGCCAGCCACCGTTCCCATTCTTCTCCCCCCACCTCCAGTACGCGCTTCGTGGCCCGTAGGGAGCTCCCCCGAGCCCCAGTGTCCACCGTCCAACATGCGTCCCCCCTACTCAGTACAGCGTTTTCCGTGGCCCCATAGGGAGCCCCACCGGAAAAAGGCCCGCAGTGCCCCGTCCACAGCGTCCCCCCGTCCGTACGCGCGTTCGTGGCCCCTATAGGGAGCTCCAACCGAAGGCCCCAACGCCACCGTCCACGATGCGCCCCCCCAACTCATTACAGTCGTCTCGTGTCCCCACACGGAGCTCAACCGAATGCCCCAGCGCACCGTCCACATAGCGTCCCCCCCCATTCAGTTACATAAAGCGGCTTCGCGCCCCATAGGGAGCTCCACCGAAGGCCCAGTGCCACCGATCCACAGAGACGCCGTCCGCCCCACTCAGTACAGGCGCTTTCGTGAACCCCCATAAGGGAAGCTCCACCGAAGGCCCCAATGCCACCGTCCATATGCGCCCCCCCTGCTCAGTACAACGCTTCGTGGCCCCATAGGGAGCCCCACCGAAGGTCACAGTGCTACCGTCCACATGCGTCCCCCCCACTCAGTACAGCGCTTCGTGGTCACATAGGGAGCTCCACCGAAGCCCCCAGTGGGACCCTCCGAGTGCGTCCTGAAACACCCACTTTGGCATTTTCACTTACCCATTACAGCGTTTCGTGGCCCCACAGGGAGCTCCACCGAAGGCCCCAATGCCACCGTCCGCATGCGTCCCGCACACCCAATGTGGCATTTTCACCCACCCAGTGCAGCGCTTCGTGGCCCCACAAGGAGCTCCACCGAAGGCCCCAGTGGGACCGTCCGC